GCCACGCTGCGGCCCCCCCCCAGCTCTGGCGGGAGGAGGGGGCCCGGACTAAGGGTACGCCGAACCTCCTCAGCCGTCGGAGGCCGAGAGGTGATCGCACCCTAATCAGACTCTGCGAACGAACCCCGGGTATGGGATGAGGAAAGTGATCTAAGGCCGTGGGTTCGCGGAGCCCCTTCCCCCAGTCAGGTGGGAAGCCAAAAGGGGGGGGGGCGCGAGGAGCTTGCACCCGTAAATCCTCCACAGGTGCTTACAGGGGCTCCTCTCCACGCCTGCATCCCACAAGGCACTCCTCCACTCACTCCCTCCTCATGGGACAAAAAAGGGACACAGTGGGCACGTGCCTTGTCATGCTCTGATTGCCCTCGCAGATGCCACAGTACTGCCACCGTGGAGACAGAGCTGCTGCCACTCAGTGCCATGCTCATGGCTCTCATGCTGCACCTCATGGTGCAGCACATCAACAATACCCACATCTTGTTTCACCAGGAACAGGACAAGGACAAAGGAGAACAAACCCTGGTGTGGCCTGCAGGCCCTGCTCAGCCAAGTCCTGGTGCTCCTGCTGCTGCACACAGTCCTCAATCCCTTGGACCAGGTGGAACTCCACTTCTGGCAGATGGAGACAAGCTCGGACTGGTGGGACCGCGTTGTCTTGCAGGGATGGGACAATCAGCAGTGGCTGCACAACTTCCGCATACACCAGGCCACCTTCCTCGAACTCTGTGAGTGGCTTGCCCTTGCCCTCAGGTGACAGAACACCCAACCGAGAGCAACTCTCACCATACAGAAGCGCGTGCCCATCACCCTGTGGTAGCTTGCCATGCTGGACAGTTACCGCTCAGTCAGGAATCAGTTCGAGGTGAGGAAATCCAGTCAGGGCTTTGCTCATGCAAGAAGCCAAGGCCATCAACCACGTCCTGCTACTGAGGGTCGTTACTCTGACGTGGACAGCATCATGGACGTCTTTGCCACCACGAGCTTCCCCAATTGTGGGGGAACAATAGATGAAACACACATCCTCATTCTGGCCCCTGACCACCGTGCCTCGAAACATATCAACCACAAGGGGTATTTCTCCATGGTGCTGCAGGCACTCGCGGATCACAAGGAACACTTCACTGACATCAACATCGGATGATCGGGAAAAGTGCACAACGCCCACATATTTCAGGACTCCTGCCTCTTCCCAAAGATGCACGCTGGTAATTTTTCCCCGACCGCACCATCAGAGACGGGGGGGTGGACATGCCCATTGTGATCCTGGGCAACACAGCCTACTCCTTGCTCCCCTGACTCATGAAGCCCTGTGGTAATGTAGGCAACTGGAGCCACCATTTTTAAATGTCCGCTAGTGCGGACTCCGTGCCGCGCGGCTACACGCGGCACGGACTAGGTAGTTCGGACTAGGTTTCCTAGTCCGAACTACCGTTACTCCATAAATGACCATGAACACCCACCCAGAGTTATTCCTCGTGGAACGAGGTTTAACGGTAGTTCGGACTAGGAAGCCTAGTCCGAACTACCTAGTCTGTGCCGCGTGTAGCCGCGCGGCACGGAGTCCGCACTAGCGGACATTTTAAAATGGCGGCGCCTGGCTTTATGCAAATGAAGCCCGGGAAATTCAAATCCCGGGCTTTATTTGCAACTCCGGTTGCCTACATTACCACCCTAGTTCGAACTAGGGTGGTAGTGTAGACATACCCTAGGAGACTATGGGTCTGTCTCCCAGAGCCTCTCGGAGGGTAGTATCCTGTTCCAGTGTAGGTTGTAGTTTATTGATAATGCGTTGGACGGGTTTAAGCTGGGGGCTACATGCAATGACAAGTGGTGTTCTATTGTTGGTTTTCTTGGGTTTTTATCTGGTAGCATGTTATGGTGTAAGGCCTTATCTACATGGAAAAGAAATTGGAATAACTAAATGTGTGATTTACGCTTATATCATAAGACCAGTGTAACTCCCCGGACCATTTTCACCTGGGAAGGAGTTGAAGCCTGACTGAAAAAAACCACTTGTACACGAGATGCAGATCCACGCAGGGAGTTAGAGTGGCATAACTATACCTCATTGGTGTAAGGCTCCCATATAGACAACCCTATGACCACACAAGGGGCAAGGCAGTGGAGAATCAGAGCCACTATGAAATCAATAAGCTGAGGCTTAGCACTTCCTCCAGTAGAGAAATCTGCAGGAGAGGACAGAGGGCACTCAAAACTCCACTAGACCAATCACTTTTAGGACAGCGTGCTCTATGAGGGGAGTGCTTCCAGGCTAGACAATAGTCCCTCTTACCTTGTATCTGAAAATTCCAAGTTAGTGACATTGAGAACTCTTTTCCTGTTGGTGCTGTAGTAGTAATCGACAAACTCCTTCAGCTTCATCTTGCAGTCTTTCTGTTTGGTGACATCAGTAACATCAACACTCCTTTCCGGTCCTAAAACATGAATGTAAGGGGGAAATGGAGTTCTGGGTTACTAGGAATGCAGGGTTATGTACAAGGAGTGGGTGAATTAACATTTCTAGGAGCACCTTACCTTCTGCATTTCCTGACTGTTTCGTGTCTGCAATTGTAATCTTACCGTTATATTAACAATAGCTTCTGTATTTATCTCCTCTAAATTTTACATTTTATTTTATTTTTTATCTGAAAAAATATTTCAGTTAGGCTAGTTTTAATCTCTCTACTTCTTTCATTATATAATTTCCACAGCAGTTTAATCAAAATCAAATGGAAACCCGCAATGAAATAGCTGTGCTAAACTAAACCTATGTGAATGACATTTGCATTCTCCTATTGCACTGCATAATACAAGGATACTGGGTATATTATACAACACAAGTGATTTTTTCCAACTGCTTCTTATTTCCATTATTTTTCTAATTTTTTTTTAATCTGGTGAACTGAACCAAGTGTTCGTTATTGCCAAAGATTGGCCACCTAGCATTGTTCCCACTTCTAAAGCAAAGTCATTTGGAGTAACAGATGCACCTAAAAGAGTCTTACTTCATCTGGTCATTTTTGTTAAAATTACTAAAAAATCCATCTTTTCCTGAATACAGAAAACAAGTCACCAGAACCTACATTCTCCATTTCATCTGAAAGACTTTGGACCTCATCCAGAACTCCAGTGCTAACACTAACCAGGAGTAACTCGACAGAAGTTGGTGGAGCTGCCCAAGTAAAAATGGTGTAAGTGAGGGAAGCATCAAATCCAGGAGCTCTAATACCAACCCTTAATGAATAACCATTTTTAAGCTAACAAGTTACCATTGTCTCTATTTTGCTGTTCTAAAAAATAACCCTACTCTCCTATATTCCAGTGAATTTTAAACATATAGCCTTAAATTTTCTCTCCCAGCATCCCTGTTTATAGCTTTCACATTTGGACAGATATTGAATAAATCACTTATTTAGTCACAACATGGCTTTTAGTGAATAATTCCAACAGTAACAACCTGTCTGGCTCTTTGGTTTGCACAAACTGCTTTCTCCTCTGCTGCTTCTGAAATAGACTCTTCTATGCCCTATATGGAACACCATGAAAACAATGGGCTAAATTCCCTCCTGGAATAACTCCAAAGCCAAATGACACTAGAAATCTGTCCCATTCTCTATAGAAACCAGTTCCAGACTGTACATTAAACAGCCTGTATTCCTCTCCTTTGGCTTTTTATTAGAGAGCCTTTTGTATATTGGGAAGGTGGATTGTTTTAGCTAGAGGCCAAGAGAAAGCCAGAAGATACTAAGAAGCACTCAGGTCAAACAATAAAATCTGCTAAAGACAGCAGCTGGACAAGCAAAAATATGTTTCCAGTATATGAGAGGATGGAAATGACAGTAAACTACAGGTTATTTTAATACACTGTTGTTAATGCAACTACCTCACTGCGCACAACTGTCTCAACAAGGGCAAGTTACAGGAAGGTGGTGTGAGGCGGGGGAGAGACAGCAGAGGTGAAACACCATGGGCTGGTAACACTACACAGTAATTTGGGGTTCTAGTTGGCAGCAAGTGAAGGGGCAGATTTTGCAATATTTATAAGGAGGGATGCCCAGTCAGTGCAGCAACAGGAGCTGGGCAGGCTGAGGGTATATCTACACTGCCCGTAGTTCAGTGCTGCCGCACCGCAGCGTATCAACTCTATTGCTGGGGGACAGATCTCCCAGCAATAAATATCCCACCCCAAATGAGGGAGTGGCAGCTTTATTGCGCTGTTTATACTGGCACTTTTCAGCACTGCAACTTTTTGTCACACCCCTGAATGACTGAAGTTTTTGCACTGAAAGTGGCAGTATAGACACAGCCTCTGGCTACATAACGGGTGTCATGGCAGAGGGAAGGAGGGTAAGTGGTGTAGCAGAGGGGCGGGGCAGGGTAAGGTGCAAGGAAAGACAAGAATCTCAAGGCAAATGGAGCAAGAGTCTTGAAGGCAAAAAGAGCCAATTTGGCAGTGGTTACAAAGCTCTTTCTGTAGGGTCGAGGGTGGCTCCTTTAGGATGTCTCCACGTGATCCCTCTGAGCGAGGGCTAAGCCCACACTTGCACTTCACAGGGCTGTAACTTGGGCTGTGTCTAGACTGCAGGGTTTTTGCAAAAAAAAGTAGACTTTTTTCGAAAAAACCTTCACCTGCACCTAGACTACAGCCGCGTTCTTTCGAAATTAAATCAAAAGAACACAGCTTTTCTTTCGACGGCGGTACTCCTCATTTCACGAGGATTAAGGCCTTTTTTCGAAAGTGCTCTTTCAAAAAAGGCGCTATGTCATGCAAACTGTGCTTTTTCGAAAGAGAGCATCCAGACTGCCTGGGTGCTCTCTTTCGAAAAAGCAGCTTGCTTTTTCGAAAGTACTGATTGTAGTCTAGATGCTCTTTTTCGAAAGAGGCTTGCAGTCTAGATGTAGCCGGTGTGGCTCAGGGATGGGAAAAGACACACCTCTCTTAAGTGCAGCAAGGTGCAGCGCTGCAAAGCGTCAGTATGAACTGGACTCTGGGAACCGTGTTCCCAGCGCTGTTAGTTACTCCCCTCTGGGAGATGGCTGACATCGAGCGCCGGGACAGCTCTCTCCCAGCACTCATAACATGGCCACACTTTCAGTGTAAAGTGCTGCCACGGCCATGCTTTAAACTTTAAAGTGGAGCCAAAGCCCGAGCTATGTGCTGAAGAGCTATGAACAGGCTGGAGTTTGGAGAGAACTCAACCAGATGACTGGGAATGTGACATGACTGGCAAATATGCAAATGATCATTAGCAATAGAAACCACAAAAAGCCTAACTATGTTCAACAATACTGCCTACAAAGGCTATAAACTGGGCAAGCTGGTATGCCCACATCTTGAGTACTGAGTACAGATGTGGTCTCCTTGTCTCAAAAAAGATATATTGGCATTGGAAAAGGTTCAGAAAAGGGAAACAAATTGATTAGGGGTTTGGAACGGGTCCCAATGAAGAGATATTAAAAAGACTTGGACTTTTCAGCTTAGAAAAGAGGACACTAAGGGTGGCTATGATAGAGGTCTGTAATATCATGACTGGTATGGAAAAAGTGAATTAGAAAAAGCTATTTACTTACTCCCACAATATAAGATCTAGGGGTCACCAAGGGTGTGTCTAAACTACATGGCTCCATCGATGGAGTCATGTAGATTAGGCTGATCGGCAAAGGGAAATGAAGCCGCGATTTAAATAATCGCGGCTTCATTTAAATTTAAATGGCTGCCCCGCTCTGCCAATCACCTGTTTGTCGGCAGATCGGGGCAGTCTGGATGCTCTCCTGCCGACATGAAAGCCCTTTATCGACCTCCCCGGTAAACCTCATCCTACGAGGCATAACGGGGAGGTCGATAAAGGGCTTTCAGGTCGGCGCGGGAGCGTCCAGACTAGTGTGCTGAGCCGACAAACAGCTGAGCAGCTGTTTGTTGGCTCAGCTCGGCAGCCATGTAAATGTAAATGAAGCCGCGATCATTTAAATCGCGGCTTCATTTGCCTTTGCCCAAAAAACAAATCTACATGGCTCTGTCGACGGAGTCATGTAGTCTAGACATACCCTTTGGGAAGGCATCTTGGGACATACGCCAAATGAAATTAATAGGCAGCGGGTTTAAAACAAACAAAAGGAAGTTTTTCTTCACTCAGTGCACAGTCAACCTGTGGAACTCCTTGCCAGAGGATGTGGTGAAGGCTAGAACTTTTACAGGGTTCAAAAACAAGCTAAATAGACTCATGGAGGTTAGGTCCATCAATGGATATTAGCCAGGATGGATAGGAATGGTGTCCCTAGCCTCTGTTTCTCTGGAAGTGGTGACAGGGGAGGGATCACGTGAGGATTACCTGTTGTGATCCCTCCCTCTGAGGCATCTCGTATTGGCCTCTGTCGGAAGACAGGATACTGGGCTAGCTGGAGTATTGGTCTGACCCAGTATGGCTGTTCTTATGTTCTTTATCCCTCATACAGGCAGAGGACCTCAGTCTTGCTGTATGCCTGATACACGGTGAGAAGGTAGCAGTCAGCTAGGACTAGGGCTGTCAAATTGAAAATCATGATTAATTGCACTGTTAAACAATAATAGACTATTTACATTTATTATAAATATTTTGGGTGCTTTTCTACATTTTCAAATATATTGACTTCAATTACATCAGGCAATACAAAGTGTATAGTGCTGACTTTATATTATTATTATTATTATTTTTATTACCAATACTTGCAGTGTAAAAAAAGAAACAAGGGAGTCCAAATTACAAGTCAAAGCAGGACAGGGCACACAAGTGTTTATCATATCTGGCATGTAAATATTTTACAATCATGGCCACAAGAGTGACACACAAACTTCTGTTCTCACTTTCAGGTGATGTAAATCAGAAACGGGCAGCACTATCTCCCGTAAATGTAAACATACGTGTTTGTCTTAGTGACGGACTGAACAAGAAGTAGGGACTGAGTAAACTTGTAGGCGCTAAACTTTTACAATTGTTTTGTTTCTCAGTGCAGTTATGTAAAAAAATCTACACTTGTAAGTTGTGCTGTCATGATAGAAACTGCACTACAGTACTTGCATGTGATGAACTGAAAAATACCATTTCTTTTGCTTATCTTTGTACAGTGCAAATCTTTGTAATCAAAAAACAGTAATATAGAGTGAGCACTGTCCACTTCGTATTCTATGGTGTCACTGAAATCCCTATATTTGAAAATGTAGAAAAACATCCAAAAATATTTATACCTAGAAGATTTACCCAGCATGGCTCAGGTCCTTATCTCAATGACTTTCTGGTTTCTGGAAAATAAAATGGTGGGGCTGGGGATGAGGGGTTCAGAGTGCAGGCTGCCCCAGCCCTCTCTCACAGTAGCAGGTTGGGCCAGTTGAAAAGCATCTCTCAGTGGCCACTGCAGCTCCAACAGGCACATCCGAGGGAGGGGTGCATGTGCCCCAGCTGGGGCAGGTCCAGGTTCATCTGCCCTGCTGTGCTCCCCAGCCAGCGTAAGGAATGCAGCAAAGTGTGTACTTTCCTCCTGGGAGAACAGCCAGCAATGTTCCTGTACAAATGGGGGGGGGGGCCCGTCCCACTAAAGGGTGGAGTCCCAGGGCCGGGGGGGGCACATCCCCAGCCAACCCTTTTCACCTCCCTGGCAATTCTGTCTCTTTTCTGTATGGTTTTATGAGAAGCAAGGCCATTACAGGCACATCCTGTTTTCCAGGCAAATCCAGACCCTTACCTCACTGTAAGTTAGGGGTGGGGAACCTAAGGTCCAGGGGCTGGATCTGGCCCCCCAGGCTGGGGGTTCCCCGCAACAATGGGGAGCCCTTGCTGATGCTCCAGCTCCACACGGGGCTGGAGTGTCAGTGCTGGCTTCCCGCTGCAG